GGAGTCGATAACCGTTGTAGAGCACTGATGTGCAGCCATTGATGATGATGACAATGAGTCCTGCTCAAACTTCTTAAAACATAATTTCCCAATGTAATTTACAAAGTATGTCATCATTTTAAAATATAACATTGTTAGTGAAATATCAGCACTGTAAACTCTTTCCCCCCACTATTCCTGTCTTGTCCCAGTGCCCCATAATAAAATGACTGTACCCTGTAATTATTAAATAGGTACTCAGTAATAAAAAATTTAAAAAAAGCTTACGGACTAGTATGTTTAAAACTCCCTTGTCAATTCAGAATGGTTATCCCCTTATTCCCTAACCTCTTGTCTTCTTCCCTTGTAACTACATATAATTCCAGTGTAGAAACCCATTACGTATTTCATTGATACTCTGTATGTGAAAAATAATTACATTGTAATTTGTTGGCTTCATTAAAAAGCATAACATTTTGTTTTGTTTTACACACTCCTCGTTAAAGGCTGTAATGTAACAAAAACATTTGTCAGCATCACTTGGGTAGGTGACTACTATCTTAGCCTAGTGTAATGTCCTAAGTATTTGTCCAATGTCTGACTTTAGATCTGGAAATCTTCCAATCTAGTCCTAAAATAATTGCCTTAGCTTTTCATTCTTTGAGAAGAAGACTGTCGTGGAAATTATATTCCTGGTGAGGGGTTGAGCAAATAATTGAGTTACAACCAACCGTTGTCTTTGAAGAATTTATTTAACAAAAGAGAATAAACAGAGAAGTACTGAAACACATATACAGCTGGTCCAGAGACCTGCCCCCTAGGGCAGCTTCAGGCGTCTGGCCCCGAGCAAAGGGATGCATCATCATTTACACAGTCTAGGTTTCTATGTTTTGGGGAACAGAGATCCTCTCTCAGCCTTGAATGAACATTCCAGGAGAGGAGAGGAACAACAAGAGGGGGAGAACACCAGAACAATCTCACAGCTCTGACCTAAACCCTAGTAAATGTGGACAGACCAACATAAGGAGTATAGGAGCACAATACATATATCTATAAAGTTGAAGAGAATAGTAATAATAATGATAATATTAAAAGATCATACACTCACCTAAAGGATTATTAGGAACACCATACTAATGCTGTGTTTGACCCCCTTTCGCCTTCAGAACTGCCTTCATTCTACGTGGCATTGATTCAACAAGGTGCTGAAAGCATTCTTTAGAAATGTTGGCCCATATTGATTGGATAGCATCTTGCAGTTGATGGAGATTTGTGGGATGCACATCCAGGGCACGAAGCTCCCGTTCCACCACATCCCAAAGATGCTCTATTGGGTTGAGATCTGGTGACTGTGGGGGCCATTTTAGTACAGTGAACTCATTGTCATGTTCAAGAAACCAATTTGAAATGATTCGAGCTTTGTGACATGGTGCGTTATCCTGCTGGAAGTAGCCATCAGAGGATGGGTACATGGTGGCCATAAAGGGATGGACATGGTCAGAAACAACGCTCAGGTAGGCCGTGGCATTTAAACGATGCCCAGTTGGCACTAAGGGGCCTAAAGTGTGCCAAGAAAACATCCCCCACACCATTACACCACCAGCACCAGCAGCCTGCACAGTGGTAACAAGGCATGATGGATCCATGTTCTCATTCTGTTTACGCCAAATTCTGACTCTACCATCTGAAAGTCTCAGCAGAAATTGAGACTCATCAGACCAGGCAACATTTTTCCAGTCTTCAACTGTCCAATTTTGGTGAGCTCTTGCAAATTGTAGCCTCTTTTTCCTATTTGTAGTGGAGATGAGTGGTACCCGGTGGGGTCTTCTGCTGTTGTAGCCCATCCGCCTCAAGGTTGTGCATGTTGTGGCTTCACAGATACTTTGCTGCATACCTCGGTTGTAACGAGTGGTTATTTCAGTCAAAGTTGCTCTTCTATCAGCTTGAATCAGTCGGCCCATTCTCCTCTGACCTCTAGCATCAACAAGGCATTTTCGCCCACAGGACTGCCGCATACTGGATGTTTTTCCCTTTTCACAACATTCTTTGTAAACCCTAGAAATGGTTGTGCGTGAAAATCCCAGTAACTGAGCAGATTGTGAAATACTCAGACCGGCCCGTCTGGCACCAACAACCATGCCACGCTCAAAATCGCTTAAATCACCTTTCTTTCCCATTCTGACATTCAGTTTGGAGTTCAGGAGATTGTCTTGACCAGGACCACACCCCTAAATGCATTGAAGCAACTGCCATGTGATTGGTTGATTAGATAATTGCATTAATGAGAAATTGAACAGGTGTTCCTAATAATCCTTTAGGTGAGTGTACATAAAAGATTAAATTTAAGAAGACACAATTTTCTGCCATACCAAAGACTACACGAGGATTCCCCGACTCAAGTTAATTTCATTGTATCTCCCACTTCAGAAACCAGAATGTATTTCTTGACGAATGGAACCAGTGAAGAGCCTTTGGGTCAAACGTGTAGGGTTTACCAAGCTTTAACACATTTCTTGATGATGATGTTTCAAAAGGATTCAGTCATTGTATGAGACATAGCATATGGAAAGGTATAGCATGTGCTGGTTTCTCTTGCTTTTATCATTATTTCTGTGAATCATTTAAGGATAATGCTTGGCAATTAATCAAGTGCAACAAATGATTAAGAGTCAAGGTTCAGTTTGGCTGGAACACACTTCAATAACACTTGCTTATTGTAAGTTGTTATTCTTTTTTATTGCAGATTGTATTAATACTAGAGACTGCTGATCAATCCATGTCAGCTTGCTTCACATATGGGGTATCTTGCAGGATGTTGTTGTTAAATCTGATCCACCTGACCTTACACACCTGTTCTGTCAGTGTGATGCCTCCTTCTTTTGCTTGTTTAAACATTTAGACTGTATGGTTAGCTCCCGCACACACCAAACCGATGACAAACTGATCACCTGATGCATTACCTGATGTCGCCTTTTGACTTTGGTTAAAAGTTGCCCTTGAACACACCACGAAGAAGAATTCTATATCTGTTTTTAGATTATATCGAAATGGAGATATAATTTATTTGATTGTTAATGCAAGTTGTAGCTATTCATGCTTTCATTGCATAGATGCATAAAATGCTTACATTGTGCCCATTTCCATTATTAAAATTTATATTTGCGAATCTTACCCGGTCTGCTTATTTTCACTTACGCACCATCAACCGCCTTCGTCCTTCACTTACACATCATAAACCTGCTACTCTCATCCACGCTCTTGTCACTTCCCGTATTGATTACTGTAACTCCCTTCTGTCTGGTCTATCTCACAAGTTCATTCATAAACTCCAACTGGTCCACAACTCTGCTGCCCGTGTTATCACCAGAACCCCAGTCTCTGAACACATTACTCCACTTCTAAAACAACTGCACTGGCTCCCTGTTAAATACCGTTGATTTTAAAGTTCTTATCTTCACCTTCAAAGCACTCCATAATCTTGGTCCTCCTTATCTCTCTGAACTCCTTCAGCCCTACACCTCATCCTGAACTCTCCGATCCTTTTTCACCTTACCATTCCTTCTGCCCGCATGTCCACAATGGGGTTCAGAGCCTCAGCTATTGTGCACCTCACCTTTGGTACAACAGAGTCCCTATCCTCATTTAAAACTTTGGTCAAAACCCACTTATTTCGAAAGGCGTACCCCACATAACTCCACCTTCCACCAGCTTCATGATGAACTACTTTCTTCAAAAGTAATGAATACAATAATGGTACACCCTTCCTTATTGGGTGACGAGAAACCAACCAAACAACCTAAGCCATGTGGAGGAAAAAGGACCCGCCCACATACCTGGAGGATATAAACAACTCATTTTGTAAGAATGGGGACTGTAAGCTGTGGATCTGGGAGGAGAAGCAGCTTTTCAGTCCACTGTGGCTTTAGCTCAGTCTGGTAGGACTTGACTAGAAACTGTGAATCCTTAAAGAGAAGCTTCTTCAGTCCACTGCAGTGTTTTTGACAAAATCTGAAAACGCAACACTACTCTACGTTAAATGAAGCTTCACTACACAGAAGCTACCCCCTAGTGAAATGTAGCAAGTTAAGCTACAACAATGTGGCAAAAGTAGCTTAGTTACATCAAAGCTACTTTTAGTTTTTAAATATTTTATAGTCAGGTTATATATATATATATATACACACAAACACACACACACACACACACACACACACACACACACACACACACACACACACACAGTAAAGGCCTGGTTTATATTGAACTATTTATAGTTCATTAATTTATAGAATTTATAATTCCACAATAACAATAGAAGAAAGACTAAAACGCTGCTCCAAACAGTCTGTGTGTGGGAGATAAATCAGACACACAGAAACTTTCCTACTTACTGCCATATAATTGCAGGTAAATGTATTTCCTCATGCAAAGGAAAACCATTGTTGTTTGTATAAAGTAAGATAACTATCACATTATTAATTAATTATATGTTTTTTATTGTTTATATATGTGAATTTGTGCTCTGGTAACATTGCAACCTAAAATTCATGGCAATGGGCGAGAAAGACAGAGAGAGAGAGAGATCTCATCTCATGGAAACAAGTTTCTGCCACTACATAGTTTCCTCCTCACTAGAGGACGAGCTGTCCAGGCTGAACCCTGATCCTTCTCACAAGAGGTGTTACAATAACTATCACAATAGAAAGTGAACTCAATCGCGCGTCTTAATTCCCCTGCAGCAAAGTCGCAGACATCAGCCCAAGGAACGGTAACTTGATGTGCCGGCTGCACTTACAGGTCCGTGTGTGGCGGTGGCGTCACTCACTGATCCTTCAGAAATACTTGGGGAAATGTAGCATGTGTGGAAGCTACACGCTACTCGGCCAATAAAAGAGCTTCCTTACTGAAAAGCTATTTGATTCAGAAAATAGTGACACTACTGCCCAACACTGAGCATATAGTATAGTATTTTGAAGGAGCAGAAAATAATTTGCACAAAACATGAGAATTAAACACCAGGATTGTGCTTTAAGAAAAAAAACTTGCATTTTATTGTATTCTGAAATGTACAGTTTAAGAACTTTGGACATTTTTTTCTCTGGATTAATTTTTTTTCTTGCAGCAAACAAAGACCAGCCTACATAATGCATACATAGGCACGGCCAGACTGGGGACTCCCGCCAAAAGAAAGACGATCACGTTGATCCATGAGGGGTACAGTACTGATGCCAGAGAGGGGAACTTCACCTGCAAACCGCAAAACACTATGATTAGCACATTTGCGATGCAACTGTGGTTAACACGTTCCTTGAAAATTTTTGGCATGCAATATCATTTGGGCATTTTGTAATGAGGGAACATTAGCGCAAAAGGCAACATGAAGTAGGGATATTTAGGAAGATATGTTAGCTAATGCAGAGCTTGTGTGCTTACAGAGTTGGGATCCCAGACTAAATAGGTGAGCTCTTTTTGGGCCTGTGTCACAAGGTAGAAAACTAAAATAACCAGAACTATTAGAGGACTGATGAATCTCCATGAAACCTGCCAGAAGATGGAGGGTTTGCGTCCGATCATGAACTCCAAGTCCTCATTGAACCTGCAACACAAGATGACCTTAATTACTTTAGAAAAGTCATGTGGTCATCCCTGTTACACAGTTCCACATAATCAATCACAGGCACAGCAGGATATTACTTATACTGTATGGTAATTGTGCAGCAAATATTAAGATGTAAAGCAAACACAGAAGGACAATTTGTTGCTAAAAGTAGTTTGAATAAGCACTAACCTGTCTATGCCGTAGATGTAAACAACAGCTATCATCTCAAAGAATCCAATGGTCAGAAGCGGAACAGATCCAGCAAAGTTATCAAAGAGATTTACCCAATAAATCCCTGAATGCTGCGCAAACAGGAGGGAGATAATGAAGGCGACAACACATGTTACTCCTGAAACACATATGCACAAAAACAAGCTTATGTTAAAACAGAAACCAGAGATGACACTAATGTTGCAATGAGAGACAAAAGGCCGAGGAATTGTTTGAGTTGTTTTTTTAAAAAACAAGTTACCAGTCAGGGCTTCATGGGGCCAGTTTTTAGGGAATACTTTCAGGTCTTTCAGTGGGACCACCACTCCCTCAATGTTGCCAAATAAGGTTGAGAGTCCCAAGCAGACAAGCATGATGAAGAAGAGGACAGACCAGGCTGGAGAACCAGGCATCTTGGCGATGGCTTCTGTAAATACAATGAAAGCCAGACCCGTTCCCTCCACTCCCTGCACAAACACGTTAGTGACAATGCAGATAAGAGTAAAAAAAAACAATAATAACTAGTAAAGCTAATAGATATTGATCAGTATAGTTACCTCACTGAGGTGTTTCTGCATGTCACAGGTTTCAATGTCCAATCCAAGAACAATATCAGGAAAAGAGCTGTTGAGGTGATTAAATGCTGCCTCATAGTTGCTTGTAGTGATGCTGACTTCAGGAAGGTCAAATGCATTTAATAATTTCATGATGTTTCTAGGGGCAAAATATTAATTTGGTCACACACCAAAATATATTGTATGGACACTAAACCAAGTTTATGCAATTATCCTGTGGGGAACATGAATGACTGTCCCAAATCTGACATCTAGAACAACGGAAGAGTTTGAGTTACAGATGGAGAGTCAGCCTTTTTGTGTTAGTTTATCATGATTGAAAAAGTAACTGTACTCACACGCTGTTGCAGTTGTCATATTGCTCTGTGGCCCTGAAGCCAATGATGGAGTAGGTGACTGTGGCAGCATAGACTGAGGTGAAGCCAGTTACGGCCGACAGGATCACGGCGTCTTGCATGCAGTTGTTGCTTGGGAAAAGAAATAAGCAACAGAATCAACGCACACGTTGACTTTGGGTCTGAGAATGACTACTCTCTTTTTGTCCAAGTGAGCAAAATGAGGCTAAATGTTTCTTACTGAACAGGGTTGTAGCTTGAGAAGGAGATGAGCCCCCCCCACCCCAAACCAAAGGAATAAAAGACCTGGGCACCTGCATCCAGCCAAGTTGTTGGTTTAATCAACTCGTCCACCTGCAAGAGGGAGGCATACATTGTTTTGTGGCTTTGCGCTTTGAGAAATAGCTTTTTTTAATCAAGATTTGAAACATACGTCTGGTGTGAATAGGAACTTTATTCCGCTCAGGGCCCCTTTAAGAGTCAGTCCTCGGATCAGGAAGATGGCCAGCACTATATAGGGTAGGATGGCTGTGACGTATACTGCCTGAGGTCATGATGAGGAAAAATAGATATAAATAACAATGGACATTAGATTTTATTTTTTTTTAGTAATATTTTCATAATTGACCATTTGCTAAACCCCTTCCAAAAACATAAATTGTCCAATCATGCGCTGTTCTATTCTACTGGGTTAGCAGAAGGTTACACTCCAGATACCCACCCAAACTCATTATCAAAGATAGCTTTACGTTCATTAAACACATCCTAGTCCTTACCCCCCAAAAACGTTACTCTTGTGATGTTAAAAGTTAAACATGGTGTTTGAAAATATGATATATGATGAAAATAGGATGTGAAATATGAACATGTGTGTAAGCTAAGCAGCTAAACAGGCTAGCTACAAGCTCTACACAGCAATACCAGTCTGTTTCTTTATGTCTTGTACATGGATCATAAATTGGTGAGGATGCTAACTTTTTGCCTGGGACATGTTGCTTTACCTCAGTCTTTCTGCATATTACGCAAAGTGCATATTTAGGACCCATTTACAGGTTTCTTGTTTTAGAACAACGTCTTGAACAACTTTTAACTGTGGAAGAAAAAACCTTCAACTGGGCTAGATGTATTGAGGTCCTGCTTCAACAAACACTCACACTCAACACACACTCAAATAGAGTTCAATACAATATAGATTTACTGAGTTTCTCTTATATTTTCAAAATATGCTCCTCCTGACTTGTTGTTTGGGATTATTTCTATTGGTCCATAATCAATTCCCAATGCTATTATGCTTTTACCCACTTGATGGCGCCATTATACAAGGAAACTTCTTGCTGGAGACACAAAAACATGATTACTTCAAAGGCTTCATTTGGAGCATTCACTGTCCTTGGACAGGATAAGATAAGGCTGATTTTGAGAAGATAAACTCTTTGCTCGCTCGCAGTAACATTTTCTTTATTTCACTAGGTTTCTTTAGGACTGGAGGTCCGAGCAAATAGATACAGCTCTTGGTAAAGGTGTTTTCTCTGTATTTTAATAGGAGTTTATCACCAAAGTTCCCGGGCTCTGTACAGTGAAATGACCTTAGTTCTATGCCTTTCTTCATGTGCTGCTCTTTGATCATAAATGTGTTGCTTTTATGGAGTAAAATGTACATACATCATGATGCAATGCAATAAATGAGCACACTGTGACCTTTGGTAAAACACATCTAGGATATAAAATAGATCACAAGTAAATATTTTCCAGCATTTTGCTAGCATTTTGACTGACAAAATCAATGGTCTCTGGAGACCTGCTTTTATCCACCAATAGCCACCAACTGTTTTGAGATAGCCTTTGAATTTCAAGTAGGATAGTAAATCTACCCCAGGTAGGTTTGTAAATGTACTTCCAGAGGTGGACAGTATTTAAATGAAATGTTTATCAAATACATATTTGATTACGTTTGAGTATTTTCTAAATTGTATTTAATGGGGCAGAACAAAAGAAGATGTCATTTGTAACAAAATACTTTTAAGAGATTGTATTTGTGCATGAAATACTTAAAATACATTATGTAATATGTATGTAATGTCAATTTATTCTCAACTAAGACATTTTTAATTTGACTAAATGCAGGTAAATCTGAACTGATTGACAGAAACCGTCCAGCATGCACCCATGAATTCCTGACCCCCCAGCTCCACGATACCCCGATTGGCCACTTCAGATCTATGATGTGGGAACTTAGCAGAGCTCATCTTTCCAATGTTGGGCAGTTAGGATCAGACCCCATATTGGGGCTCCTAAATGCCTAAAATGTAATAATAAAACTAAAAATAAAACTTTGCATAGAACCTATAAATTAATGTTTATATTTGAATTAAACACATTTTCTCACACCAGCATTTTGTATTTTTTGATTAATAATTTGTAATTTGTAACCAGATACTTTTTAATGTTTTTGTGCCCATCTCTGTGTCCTTAATTAGAATGGAAAGTTTGACATATAGCAACAGTAACTAAGGTAGGCTTATCGAATGGTCAGTCAGCTGAATGCTCAACAAACCTTGCCTGAAGTGCTGATGCCCCTTATGCAGCACATAGCGATAACTGTCCAGGCAGCCAACAGGCAGGCTACCATGGGCCAGTGGATTCCCCCAGACTCAGCTATTGAGGCCGAACTATTCAGAGTCACTCGGTAAAAGTAGTAATCCACAGTGGAGCTCCTTTGACACTCTGGTACAAACCCTGAAAGGGCAAGAAATATGTATAAACAAAGATTCAGGTGGGATGCTTTGGTGTGCATGTGCTGGTCATATAATTAGAATATCATCAAAAAGTTGATTTATTTCAGTAATTCCATTCAAAAACTGAAACTTGGATATTATATTCATTCATCACACACAGACTGATATATATTTTAAATGTTTATTTCATTTAATTGTGATGATATAAAACTGACAACTAATGAAAACCCCAAATTCAGTATCTCCGAAAATTTGAATATTACTTAAGACCAATACAAAAAAAGGATTTTTAGAAATGTTGGCCAACTGAAAAGTATGAACATGAAAAGTATGAGCATGTACAGCACTCAATACTTAGTTGGGGCTCCTTTTGCCTGAATTACTGCAGCAATGCGGCGTGGCATGGAGTCGATCAGTCTGTGGCACTGCTCAGGTGTTATGAGAGCCCAGGTTGCTCTGATAGTGGCCTTCAGCTCTTCTGCATTGTTGGGTTTGGCGTATCGCATCTTCCTCTTCACAATACCCCATAGATTTTCTATAGGGTTAAGGTCAGGCGAGTTTGCTGGCCAATTAAGAACAGGGATACCATGGTCCTTAAACCAGGTACTGGTAGCTTTGGTACTGTGTGCAGGTGCCAAGTCCTGTTGGAAAATTAAATCTGCATCTCCATAAAGTTGGTCAGCAGCAGGAAGCATGAAGTGCTCTAAAACTTCCTGGTACACGGCTACGTTGACCTTGGACCTCAGGAAACACAGTGGACCAACACCAGCAGATGACATGGGACCCCAAACCATCACTGACTGTGGAAACTTTACCCTGGACTTCAAGCAACGTGGATTCTGTGCCTCTCCTCTTTTCCTCCAGACTCTGGGACCTTGATTTCCAAAGGAAATGCAAAATTTATTTTCATCAGAGAACATAACTTTGGACCACTCAGCAGCAGTCCAGTCCTTTTTGTCTTTAGCCCAGGCGAGACGCTTCTGACGCTGTGTCTTTTTCAAGAGTGGCTTGACACAAGGAATGCGACAGCTGAAACCCATGTCTTGCATACGTCTGTACGTGGTGGTTCTTGAAGCACTGACTCCAGCTGCAGTCCACTCTTTGTGAATCTCCCCCACATTTTTGAATGGGTTTTGTTTCACAATCCTCTCCAGGGTGCGGTTCCCTATTGCTTGTACACTTTTTTCTGCCACATCTTTTCCTTCCCTTTGCCTCTCTATTAATCTGCTTGGACACAGAGCTCTGTGAACAGCCAGCCTCTTTAGCAATGATCTTTTGTGTCTTGCCCTCCTTGTGCAAGGTGTCAATGGTCGTCTTTTGGACAGCTGTCAAGTCAGCAGTCTTCCCCATGATTGTGCAGCCTACAGAACTAGACTGAGAGACCATTTAAAGGCCTTTGCAGGTGTTTTGAGTTAATTAGCTGATTAGAGTGCGGGACCAGGTGTCTTCAATATTGAACCTTTTCACAATATTCTAATTTTCTGAGATACTGATTTTGGGGTTTACATTAGTTGTCAGTTATAATCATCAAAATTAAAAGGAATGAACACTTGAAATATATTAGTCTGTGTGGAATGAATGTATACATTATACAAGTTTCACTTTTTGAATGGAATTACTGAAATATATCAACTTTTTGATATTCTAATTATATGACCAGCACCTGTATATGTGTGGTCTGAAAATGAGTGTACATATGTGCAAATACCTGTCCCATTGTCATTGAGAGGACACTGGGTCCAGGGCAGTGGGTCTTGAAAGGAATTGAAGAGATACCACATGATCCAGGCTATTAAGGTGTTGTAGTACAGTCCAACCAAAAAGGACACGAGCATGGAGGCAATGCCTGAGGAACAGCATCATTATCTGTGACATCACATTTACAGGAAGCCAGATACTGGCTGATAACGTATGTGTTGCTGTTGCAGTGCCAGTTTTTTTTCTTTTGCTTTGTTCCACAGCCTTTTTTTAACTTACCAACACCAGTCAGATAAGGGCTGATGGCCCTCCACACTCCCACACTGCCTTTCCTGAGACGCTGGCCAATGGCAAACTCCAGCAGCAGGAGAGGCATTCCTTCCAGCACCAGCAGGATCAGGTAGGGAATCAAAAAGGCACCTGGAAAATGCACAGGACAAAGAGAGGCATTCTCATCTCCTTGGGTGCAAAGTAAGTTTTGACTATAAAGACAACACAGGTTTCCTCTTTTCTTTGGGGTTGTAGTATAATTGCAGTGCTTTTCAGCAATGCTAGTGACATGGCCCACCACGTTTGTCCAGAATTAAATATTTCAACAACAATCTGAGGGGTTGCCATCACATTTTGAACAAACATGCATGCATCACAGATGATAAATCCTGAAAAATGTGGTGACCCCCCTTGACATCTCAACTTCCATCATCATCAGGTTTAAATTTTAGTTTGTCCAGTAATTTAGTTAATGACCAACTACCCGTAAAACTTCTGCGGCTATATTTTGGGTGTTGTGCTTATTGTTAAAATTGCTAATCTAAGATGTTGAACATGGTAAACATTATACCTGCTAATTATCAGCATATTAGTATAGTTAGTTCATCAGGCCAGATTAAGTAAGAGTTGACTTGAAGAGGCATTGAATTGATTAAATAGAGGACTGTGACTCATTTCACTATTCAGCTCTCTCGATTTCAGGGTTTTATGCTGGTGTAAGTAGATTTGCGTCGTAGACGACAGCACGACATGGGCTGTAAGGATGTCGGCAGGGTTGAAATACAGCAAGTACTGCACATAAAAGGTCTATTAAAAAACCTTGCTGATCACAGTAATTAAGAGCAAATAGGTTAGGTATTAACTACGGTCAACACTTAAAGGTTATTACAGGTGTCATTAACAGATCATGCAATCCATCTGTATTGTTACATTACTGTGACTGATGTATGGGGTTGAGCTGAAGGTAATAAGTCACAGAAATACAAACGATTATATTTTCAAAATTTACATGCCTTTGAATCTGTCCCATCCATAATGTATCAATCAGCCGCATTACAAAAGAATAACAATTGCCCACTTCACACAGACACATGTGGAAAAGCACACACATAATGTATGTATGAATGTATAGCATTCAGTTTCAACTTAACCTGAGGGTCTCTGAATGTAGCTTGTATGTCATGCCAAAAGTTAATTATTTCTTTAAGACGTCTTAGTCTTGAGAATCATTAATATAACTTGATGGTGATTTATCGCCCCTCACTTGTAGCTGTGAATGAGTCATATATTTAACTTTACTTTTAGCCTTAGGTACAAAGGACCAGTGATTTTATTTAAAGTAAAAAGGTAAATAAAAATTCCCAAAAGATCACAATAAATTTACTCCGGGGTACCTCAAGCACACTTAAATCTTTTAAACACTTTTTTGACAACAAAACCACTGATGTCCATTTATCCTTTTTGTCTTAGCTTACCTCCTCCATGACTTTGACACAAGTAAGGGAATCGCCACACGTTACCAAGCCCAATGCAGAAGCCTACACAGGTCAGGATGTACTGGGCTTTGTTGTCCCACTTGGGCCTGTCACCAGCCTCCTCCTTTGCCATCCTCTCCAGATCCTCATGGTTAGGGATCCGGCGGTCCAGTCCGGGGTTAGGAAATACAAGTCTCATGACGACCACGTGTATACCAATGAATTCCTACATAAGAGCACTCATGGACGTTGAAGTTTATGATCTCTTACTGCAAGCTAGAGATTAGTCAGTACACACTCTGTACTTTTGTCTTTATATAGCCATTCAGTCATTCAATGTAATAATTAAACATCAAATGTAAAAAATTTCATGACCAAGCCTATTAAAATCATTTGAAGACTTTTTCACACGAAGTTCAAGATGCCTGATCCAGTCAAAGCTGGTCAATCTGGTCTAGGCATAACCAGTGATTTTCACAGTCATTTAAAGTAGCCTACTAAATATTACTGAATTGTACTTTAACAGTGTGAACACAGTAGACAGTGTCTCCTATTCGTGCCCTGGTGGGCAGTAGGCCACTATGGCCCCCCCTGGCACCTCAGTATGCCTCCAAATTCGGGCAGTTTTCGGTTCGCCTGAAATACATCGGCAACGGAGATCCCCCCTACACGCGAGTATGTTGTTGAGTTTTTCTGTTTGAGTCTGTCTGGATTAACGTTACTGACGTGTACTCATTTATAGCCTTACCCAACAAAAGAGACTTTGAGCTGTGCTTTTTCCCACTGTAAAAAATGTTTGTAGAATTTGGGGTAAAAAACTGTCAAATAGCAACAGTAAAAGACCATAAAATTCAAAATAGTATTTTACCGTAGTATATACAGTGAATAACCCTAAATCAAGAAACAGTACATTACTGTAATTGTCACTGTCATAATATGTCGAAAAAACACACGTTTTTATTGTTAAAATATAATATTTTGGTAAAATTAATGGGGAAATACCGTAATGCCATAAGCAAGTAATAACCTTAAAATAAACGGTATCATTCTGTCTAAATTACAGATTTAGCTGATGTGTACAAATGTAAATAGCAACAGAAAAAGACCATAAAATTCAAAATGGTGTTTCACCGTAGTAGATACAGTGAATTACCCTAAATCAAGTAACAGTACATTACTGTAATTGTCACTGTCAGAATACGTTGAAAAAACACACGTTTTTATTGATAAAATATAATATTTTGGTAAAATTAATGGGAAAATACCGTAAAGCCATAAGCAAGTAATAACCTTAAAATAAACGGTATCATTCTGTATAAATTACAGCTTTAGCTGATGTGTACAAATGTAAATAGCAACAGTAAAAGACCGTAAAATTCAAAATGGTGTTTCACCGTAGTAGATACAGTGAATTACCCTAAATCAAGAAACAGTACATTACTGTAATTGTCACTGTCGTAATACGTTGAAAAAACACACGTTTTTATTGTTAAAATATAATATTTTGGTAAAATTAATGGGGAAATACCGTAATGCCATAAGCAAGTAATAACCTTAAAATAAACGGTATCATTCTGTCTAAATTACAGATTTAGCTGATGTGTACAAATGTAAATAGCAACAGTAAAAGACCATAAAATTCAAAATGGTATTTCACCGTAGTAGATACAGTGAATAACCCTAAATCAAGAAACAGTACATTACTGTAATTGTCACTGTCATAATACGTTGAAAAAACACACGTTTTTATTGTTAAAATATAATATTTTGGTAAAATTAATGTTAGAATACCGTAAATAAATGTATCATTCTGTCAAAATTACAGATTTAACTGATGTGTACATTTAAATTTACAGTATGAAACCTTTCAGCATTCGGCAAACACATACCGTCATTCCTATGGAAATAAGATGTTAAAAATATGGAATAGGTGTTTATTATTATTATGTTTATTAAATGTTGATTTTAAGGTAAAACATATTATGTTAAAATAGCTGTAGAAATTATGTTAAACACATGACTTTTGGGTTTGTGGTCTTTCTAATTTTGTATTTTTAAAGGTATAGAGTTTTACGACAAACTGCGACTTTCTTGGCTTAAAATATCTTTTATTTGTCGCCCCCCATTTTTCTTCAGCACTGAGCTGTCTAAAGAGCATAAGATTTACAGTCAGAAGAAGAGAAGAACGATGTCTTCTAGCAAGTTGCCAGAGCGGGCGGTGACATGGGCTTCGTCCTCCCGGGGGACCTCCATCCCCGATGTGGGGTGCCTCAGACTGGGGCACACAGACCGATCACGCTGCCCAATCTGTGCCCTTCTTTCCCCTGAAGAGAGGCAGCGCTGGGAGGATAATTTTGCCTCTCTTGCTACCCAGGACAAGGAGGTGTGGTGGTCCACCCACACTCTCTAGGACGAAGCCCTCGACCTGCTGACCTCCTGAAGAGTGGGAGTGTGATGACTCCACTTCTTCCCTTCACGGGTCTCCAAGTTGCTCCCCGCTTCCCCCAATCCAACCTCGAGTGAAACTGGCCTCGACGTTGCTATGTTGTCACGACGAGCCAGGTCATCGTTGAGCTAACAGGATGCCAACATCAGGCTAACGTCGAGCTAACAGGAAGCTAACGTGTAGCTGACAAGCCGTATGCCCCTGGATCAGCCGACCAGGCAAACCCCCGTGTTTCGACGTTGCTCCACATTAGCTGCGGCTAACGTCACTAAGCAACCAGATTACTTGCTGCTGGCCGACCCTCATCGCTCAGAGCTAACAACTGGTAAGCGATGGTTCGGGACTGTGTTGTAATCTTGCTCCTTGTGTGGAAGTTGTTGAACAAACGCTGTCTGTGCCTGTCTCAGTCGACTCAGCCACACAAGCTAACATTCCCCACACTGTGTGAGCCAGCTGCCGTTAGCCAGGTGGCTACTTTGCAGCTTGAGCTCAAGCAACAAGCAGTACACTCTTTGTTCACAGTCAGAGGTCCCCTCACACGCCCCTCCTCACAGAAACTGTGAATGAGCCCACGAGAGCCTACAGTTCGTGTGGACAGAAAACATACACACCTTGTACACATTGGTGGTTGTGCGCATGCGGGTTGCAGGGGACTGGATGGCTCATTATGTGGCTCTGGGCCAGTGGGTCTGTGCTTGGTGGTACCGTATGGGCCAGTGCGCCGTTGACTCATTCCTTCTTCGCCTCTAATGCAAGAGGGCGAAGCCTATACAAAATAGAACGGTAATACTGTAACTCCAGATTCTATGAGTAGGCTATAGGTGCAGCCCTCTAAGTTGAAGGCCTCACTGGACCTTGGTTACAGTACAGAACTACCATTTTCCATTGACTGTAGGCCTATATAAAATTTGGTTGGCGAGTTGTGGTTAATAAGGTGCGCAAGGTAATAAAACTGTTTTCCCCCCATGCTATAATTGTTTCATCATTTTCAAAATTGATTAAAACAACATAAAAAACACCAAAGGCTTACATGTGGCTCACCAAAATAATGAAAATATACACAGTTATGAAAATGTGCACATTATAATTAATAATAGTTACTATGCTATTTGAAGAAAAAAAAACTATATATATTTTGCACCTGGTGAGCGCTCCCCACAACAACTCATAATATTGTATGCTTATTTTAAAATGAATGTTAATGAGCTGAGAAAGGCAGAGAGAGAGAGAATGAACACAACTTTTACTGTTTTATTTGCTTATTTAATGAAATGTATGAAATTAATTCTTCTGAAATTTATATGTAGCTTTGTCAATATTGCAGTCATACATTTTGCAAATAAAGCTGAAATTTAATTGAATTGAATTGAGTTTGTAGGGGAGAGAGAGACGTTAATGTTAAGGAACTGATTTAAAAAAGGCAGAGAGAGAGAGAGAGAGAGAGAGAGGGAGACGTTAGCAGTTAGCGCCATTTCTACGCGTCCAGCATTCATTGCGCTTGTGGGATTAACGTTACTTTTTGAATGAATAACGTCTGACTGTGGATCCTGGAGAGGAAGAATTCCGTCGTGAGGTGAGCACATTTTTAAAGTTTAAAAGCTTTCTTGAAAGTTTGTTTGGTTTTGTATTTATGTGATAATGTTACCTTATGTTAATGTTGGCTAACTTTAGGTCAGGTTAGAGTAAACCTGACCGTGGGCTGTTTCTACAACGGTTTAATTCAAGGTGTCCATTCTGCAGTTTTGTGTTGCACTTGCAAAAACGATGTTTACTCATTTGTAAAGTTAAGTTAACGTTAAGTTAGCTAACGTTAGTTATTTAATGGTAACACCCCGGAGGAAATATCCAGTTGTAACGTAATTTTTGTGGCAAGTCAATTAAAAATGGTTATGTGCTTTTCTGTAAACTGTAAAGGTAAACGTTATGTGAACGGCAGTGTCAATATAACGATATAAAGATAACGTTAACTTAAACGTTCACATGGGGGAGCATATTAAGTTACCACCCACATGTCACAGACACAGATCTTGCAGACAGCGGTATAAGTGACTGAATTTATAATCTGCTTCTCAGTCATTATCTATTCCAACTCAATCAGATGACTTTGGCCCTCAAGTTTATGAAGCCGGTAAGTTAGAGACAGGCGTAAGTATAGGAATGTGATGTGGATATGTCTGATAATTTCAGTGAGCTTGTTCTTAACTGCTTATAAATGACCTTATCAGATGAGGACATCGCGAAGGTTTGGGAGTCTGTCAAGGGATTTTATCGGTTTTCTGCATGTCTTCAGGCACAATGAGGACAGCATACTCAAGAAACAGTAGAAAGAGCATAGAATGAGGAGCAAAGGGCCCATACTGGAATCTAACCTTGGCTGCTGCAGCACATATTCTACCAGGTGAGCCACATGGGTAGCCCAGCTCCTGTCTTCTTTCCATATTCTTTCTTTCAGGTCAGAAAGTCACATAAACAAAAAATATATAAATAATTAACAAAGAAACAGAAAGAAAAAACTTACTAAAAACAAAATATTAGCGTTTCGTTGTTTTTGGTCTTTTCAATAGAAGATCACTACATAATAAATATTTTATTCTCAGTGATTTTTATTATCTAACAGAATATACTGTAGATGTTTTTTTCCTTTTGGAGACTTGCCACAAACCAACACATTACTGATGTTGGTTTCATTACTCCTGATGTTGCTTTCTCCACCCACTTTCCTGAGTATCCTGAGGTCCACAGGCTGTGATGGGGCATTGCAGCTATTTATAAAAACCACCGGGGTTCTGTATTTTTTACTGCTAGTTTTTTTTTGTAGATTTCAACAGTTTGTTGTTGTGGTTCCTCTAACTACATAGCCAAACACTAAAATAATTTAATCTTCTCCTCAGCATGATGCAGCTGGAGAATGCAACTTTGCACAAATACGGGATGGCCAGCACTGAGATTTGTCGTAAGCTTTATCAGAACGCAGCTTCAGTGAGTAAATATAGTTTATATGCTTCTGAACTGGTACTGCCCTAAAATGTTTGTTTGTTAAATACTTAAATGTTCGCATCAATAATTGTGTCCTTTATTTATCTTCTACCCTG